TCTGCCTCCAAAGTCCAGGATCAAGTGACTGCTTGTCTAAGCAATTTCACCAGGCAGTTCAGTGCCTTAAAACAGAACATGAGTGGTGATAAACAGATTCTAAAGTGCTGGAACTCTGATGATGAAGGCCATGAATGAAGGAATTGCAGAAAATGCTAAGGCTTGAAAGGTAAGATCACTCCCAGCAGGGAGGAGAGGAAAATAATTAACAGCAGAGGTTGCCAGATATTGAGAAGCCGGATTTAAAAATGTGTCAGTTTTCTGCAATGAAAGGCAGCTATAATGGACTTTTTGTCATGAGACATGTATATGGAGTTCATTGCAATATGAACATAGATACAAGAGGCAATGTTACCATCATCTGAAGAGATCTGGCCCAACGATTGGAAGATAAACTCATATGGATGCTGCCCTGAGTTACTCTGCAGACTGTATCCAGTGATAAAATTGATGTCAATGGAAAGTCATTAGCATCATGTTTGAAGTGTTGTCTACTATCACACCACATATGTGGCAGATATTACAGACCCATAGAAGTACAAAATTACATCATGAAGGAAGACAGTTACCCTTTCTTAGAACTGAAGATATTCTGAAGAACCCCCTTTCTGAAAACAAATGCATGCTTGACTTAAAGAGCGGATACATCTTGATGACCGAGAAAATATGGCTGTTAGTATCGGACAAGAACTCAGTATATAATCCAAACATACACAGTCCAGTCACATTAATGTGACCACCACGTACTTTCCATGTCAGAGTTAAATAACCAATCACAGAAGGCAGGTGGCAGCACAGTGCAGTTGAGCGTATATAAAGGGTGTGTGAGGGCTTCGGAAAACATTTCAATCGTTGGCGTAATGCAGAAACGAAGCGATTTATCCGACTTCCAAAAGGGCATGATCATTGGCTTTCGGGCCAAGGGTGGAAGCATTTCCGAAACGGCTGAGTTTGTGAACTGTTCGCGTGCCGCCGTGGTAAAAGTGTACCGTGCATGGCAAAATGGGACTGTCCAAAATCAGCGACGTGGCAAATGTGGTGCACCACGGGCCATAGATGACAGAGGCGAACGACGGTTGCGGAGATGCGTTCGGGCAGATAGACGGGCTACCGTTGAGCAACTGACCACCAAAATGAACCAAGGGGCTACCAAAGTGGTCTCCCAAAGTACTATTCAGTGAACATTGCTGCGTCTGGGCCTCTGAAGCAGACGCCTGGTTCGTGCACCTATGCTGACTGCTGTTCATCGACGGCGAAAAAGCTAGAATTTGCACGCCAGTACAGCAGCTGGACGTCCACTGAGTGGCGACAGGTTGCGTTTTCGGATGAATCGCGTTTTATGCTCCATCGGACAGATGGACGTTGGCGTATAAGGCGTGAAACCTCTGAAAGGAACCACCCTGCAAACCATTGCCGGAACGGTCCAAAGCTGGAGGCGGGAGCATTATGGTCTGGAGAATGTTTTCCTGGCATTCTCTAGGTTCACTGATCATTGTGGAAGGCACAATGGATCAATACAAGTACGCATCTGTCCTTGCGGACCATGTTCACCCCTACATGCGCATTGTTTTTCCTCAGGATGATGGCATCTTCCAGCAGGAACAATGCGAGGTGCCATACAGCTGCCAGTGTACGTGCGTGGTTCGAAGAGCACCAGGATGAGTTTACCGTCCTCCCCTGGCCAGCAAACTCACCTGACTTAAACCCAATCGAGCATCTGTGGGACCATCTCGATCGAGTTGTTCGCGCCATGGATCCTCAACCGCGTAATCTAGCGCAGCTGGCCACGGCATTAGAGTCGGCATGGCTCAACATCCCAGAGAACACCTTCAGGGACCTATGTGACTCTCTTCCTGCACGTCTCGCAGCAGTCCGCTCTGCGAAAGGTGGTTATTCTGGCTTTTGACAGATGGTCACATTAATGTGACTGGACTGTGTATAATCCAAATATATAATCCAAACATTCCAAGGTTTGGATTATATAATGCAACGACAATATTTGAATGTCTCATAGAGACTCTGCTGAGAGGTCTTTTCTGCACAGCCTGTCTGATATACCTGGATGGCATGCATCATCATTTTGGAGAAAAGTTTTGAAGAGTATTTAGAAAATATTGTGGTGGTGCTTCAGAAATTGAAAGAAGCTAGTCTGAAGTTAAGTCCAGAAAATGTGCTAGCAGTTAAAGATTGAAGACCTCCCTGAAAATGCCTATCAGCTGAGAAGTTTCCTGGGGTATTGCACCTACTATAGGAGATTTGTGAAAGACCCTTCTTCCATCGCAAGATGCCTCCATAAACTAACACAAAGCAGGGAAAAGTTCGTGCGAACTAAGAATGGGAGGATGCATTTTACAAATTGAAGAAGGTTTAAACATCTGTGACAATCCTGACATATCCTGAGCTCGACAAACCGTTTATTCTCAACACAGATACAAGCAATGAGAGTTCAGCGCTGTTTTCTCATACCAGAAATAAACAGTCAAGAACATGTTGTGGCATACTGGAGGAAGTGTCTAACATGAAGAGGAATTACTATGTCACCAGTAAAAAGCCACTCATCATAGTTAAAGCCACAGAACATTTCCATCATGACCTGTACAGCAGAAATTCTTGCTATAAGCCCAGAAAGAGTGTCAGTTTATTTAGTTCTGAATTTATCTCAGAATATTGAGAGATCACTTTTAATATGCATTTGATACTTTCTGTATTGTCTTGTGTTTAACATTTTTAGTGGTTTGAACTGGTAACTATTGACTGTGTTCTGACATCCTGAGAAGAGCTGTATGAGTACTTTTGTGGAAAGTTCTAGAAGTGTGTTTCTTTTGGGAAAATAAATTTTATCAAGCTGTCATCAGTTCTGTGTGCATTTAATCCATTAAGAGGTTTGCTATTTTTGGGCTAATAATGAAAAAATGATCGAAATTGCTTTATTGTTTTTCAAAATATTCTCCATGGCGATCAATTCACTTTTGCATGCGTTTGAACCAATTTTCGAAATTGGTTTTATTGTTTTTCAAAATATTCTCCATGAAGATAAATGTACTTCTTCATGTATTTTAACCAATTTTTGAAGCACTTTTCCCACTCCAATTGAGGTAACTCCAAAACATGCGTTTTGAATGCATCAACCATTGCTTCAGGTGTCACAAATCACCGACCACGTAATTTATTTTTGATGTGCAGGTATAAAAGAAAAGTCATTGGGTGCTAAATCAGGTCTGTATGGCAGATGACTATCAATTCGATGTTTTGGCCTGTCGAAAATTTCTTTGTTTGAGCGGATGTGTGAGAGCTCACATTGTCATGATGAAGATTGATTCGCCTCTTCTGCTTTTTTTCAAATTTCGCTGATAACTTCTGGCAAACAAATGGTCATGTACCATTCGGTATTGAACATCCTGCTTTGGTGTAACACCACTGTTGCCATGTGACTGGTAATGGCAAAGAGACAGGTAACCATTTGCTTTGATATGCTTCACCTGCGAAGAACTATTTTTGGATTTGGCTCATTTTGAAAGACCCATACAACGCTGTTGGAACGAGACGGCTCCCGGCCTAATGCAACCAAAGAGATGCCAAACAGGATTAATGCCACCCCGCCTTGGATCAATCAACAATGTTGCGACTCCACAGAGCAAGGGCAGACAAGGCAGTACCAGTATGGTCCCTGCCGAGCCTTACTCTGTCCTGAGAGCCCTCAGGCCTTCTGTGAAGTCTGTTATTTTACCTCTGTGGTTGAGGCTGCCTAGATACAGATCCTAACCAGTACTTCCCAGGCGTTCGCCTGAGTCAACCCCCGGGGGGGGGGAAGGAAGACCCATACAGTCGACTGCTGTTTTGTTTCGAGCTCATATGCATAGATCCATGATTCGTCACCTGTATAGATGTTATACACAGCCCTTGATGCACCTTGAACATTTCCAACATTTCCTTGCGCCAGTTGACACGAGTCTTCTTTTAAGCATTTGTCAGATTATCCAACACGAACAAATCTTTTTCTATGGCCAAATGTTTTCATGTAATATTTTATTGTTGCTTGTCATACTAATGCCCAAAGATGCCTCAGTCTCATGGTATGCCACATGGTGATCTTGCTTTATCATTTCATGCACATCTTCGATATTTTCCAGCACAACAACTGATTTTGGGTGACCTTCATGGAATTCATCCTGAAGTGAATGTCGACCACGATTGAATTTGTTACATCTTTTTTTACGGTGCTGTAGGATGGTACTTTATCACTGTATAAAGAATTAAGTTCATTGAAGCACTCTTGTCTTGATAATCCACGTCGAAAGTTATGAAAAATAATTGCACAAAAATGTTCACAAGTCGATTCCAATTTTTGCTTGAGATGAATTTTTCAATTTACTGTAAATAACACAAATCAAATGATAAAATCACGCTAAAATGATAAAATGTTCTGAAGAAATTATGGTTAAAAATATCAAACTTTCAATTGGGATCATCTGCGGTCACCTAGCAAGGCCAAGACCAGAAATATAAATAGCAACCTTCGTACGAGCACGTACACATGTAACATTATGACTAATGGCTGATAGTAATATTATCATTAAGTAGTATTTTGTGAAGTTCAGCCTTTTAAAGACTCAAAAAGGAAAATCAACTAGGCAACTTTCATTTGATGTATATCTTTTAATAAATTAGTGTTTTTAAATCTACTGAGCAAAATTTATGACGTAAGGTTTTTTTTCTGTGTTTTTTCATCCTTTGCGGATGAAATCTATTTTCTATATTTTTTTAAATATTAACTTATATTTAAAAGAATTAAGTAAAAGATCACCAATACCCATTTTCTCTAAGATGATCACCTTCACAGATGATTGAAATTGTTTAGAATCGTGAGTGGTCATCAGAGATAGGGCTGACTGTATATTGTCCTTTTCTAAAGAGTTGATGATTAAATTTAATATTTAGATTGGCAGTGCTAGTTTGAATTAGAAATATATTTACCAAAATGAACTTTTTCTTGATTTCAGACAACTCCAGACAGAAGAAATTAGAGAGATGTGACTCTTTTGGTTCTAATTCAAGCCACAGTTCAAATTCTAGCTGCACACCGTACTGTCCTAAGAAAAAACGAAAAATTTTATCCTCAAGACCAACAAAAAATTTCCGTCAAATTAGATCAAGCTCAGGTACCTCTGGTAATTGTAAAAATGTAGAAGTGAAGAAAAGTAATAGAAGTGAAGTGAGTAAAAGTCAGAGTTCAGATATATGTATTCAGAGAACAAAGAAAAGAAAATGCTCCTCTGACTCAGATGAAGACTTAAACATGGTACTAAGAAAATCTGCTGGAATCTCATCTATGTTTGCAAACCTGCAGTTTAGTAATAATTCGGCAGTTTCTGATGAACTTAGTGACAGTAAAATGTCTCTAATCTTTTCTAATGATGCAATAAATACATCAAATGATAGTGTATTTTTAAGTTCAAATTCGAGCACGACTGATTTAAGTGAAGATAAACCAACAGGTAACTTTAAAACTTCTGTTAGTCATTCAGTGGCTGATTCAGTAGATTCCTGTCATTTACATTCTTCATTCTTTGAAGAGAAAAGTTTGAAAAGAAATGTTGCATTTTGTCTGGATAGTGTGAAACTGATAACACCTGAGAATGATACTAAAGGATTGAATGAGTATAGCTGTACAGAGCACAGTAGTCCTGATGCAAGTTTTGGAAATAATGAACTGAAAAACATGAAGAGTAGCAATGTTTTCTATACTCCTGGTAATTCAAAAAGTAAAGATTCAAAAATTCATGCAGTAAGTATGTATTTTAAATATTTATAAATTTATTAGACTTATATTAAATAAAGGGAAACTGTAATGTATTATTGCAGCAGATTTATAAAAAGCCCGTCTTACTTGAACTTCTTAAATAATCTTGTACAATCATACATCACACAATATTATGTTTACTACTATTTTAAAATTAATTAATGATTTCGGGATATCTTGCAATTTCAACTTATGTAGCCCTATTAATCTGCCTCTGATATATTCTGAGAAAAGGAAATAGGAACTTTTGGCCCTCTTTTATTTAGGTTGGTTTTTGTGTTTTTTTGCATCAAACCTGGAAATATCTTTTTTTGATCCTCTTTTATTGAATCCCCCCTTTTCTAAATTTTGTACTCTTAATTTATTTGTGATAAAAATACAATATTTCATAATTTTTCAAAAATCCATATAGATTTTTTTTTTTCGAATTGAATGTTTAAACAATTTTTTAAGCATATTCTTATTTAATGATTGAACTAGTCATTACAGAACTCCAGGCTTTGCAGTAGCTGACGAGTCAATAAACTTATTAAGTTTTTCAAAATCTGTAGTATAATTTAATGATTGTTTGAATTTTTTTCAGAATTAATCGATTTCTTTAGCTGTTATACATTTGCTAACAGTCCCAGATTTTTCTATATTAAAATATTTAATCCATTATTGTTTAATTATTAATAATCGTATTGAACTAGAAGACTTTGAAAGAAAAAGGGCATCATATGCTGATTAGAAAAGATAATTTGCATATGTTCAGGAAGTGATTTTCTTTCTTTATTATTTTGTTCCATTCTCATTTTCTGCATTCTCTTAATTGATTGTTGTAGAATTGTATTGTTTTTTAATGGAATTTTAAGGAAGAGACATGAGGACGTTAGTTGAATTTCAAGAAATTACAAATGACTGTATAAAGAAAATTATCTTATCTTATCAGTTTACTCTCAGATGTTAGTAATGTCTTTAGAAAGTTGCTAGTGTCATATATATTTTCATGAAAATGGTTGTCTTATTTCTCCAGTCTAGTTTGATTTTAAGTAAACTACTCATTTTAAGAATTGCAGGGAAGGGAAATTTAATTAAAATTATAAATATATGATTGCTCAATAAAAATGAAATAAAAGCTATAGTTACTTTTCAACTTATTATACTATAATTGCATTTTAAGGAAAAGTTGGGATAACAGTTTTCAGCCTTAAAAAAATTGATATTTTAAATATATTTAAAAAAAAAAAAGTGGGTTCTGCTTATAAGCTAATATTAAAGTGAACAAACCGCATCCAAAGTGGGTGAAAATTAAGCTTACCTTGGCAAAAAGTGCATTTTCTTGTCTCACAATTTACTTTCTACTAAACATTTTCTAACCGGCTGGTAATGGAAATAAATTTTACTTTGTTTCTGTAATCTAATATTTTTTAATCTAATGTTTAGAGTAAAACCTGCTTTAGAAAGAGTCTAGGGGATAATATTGTTTGAAAAAGAAGTCACTGCTTGAGAAGAATTATTATATCAACTCAAGTAGGGTTTTGTGGATATGTTTTATAGAAAAACTGTTTTTTGTGTCACGATTGATGTGCTCATCTGATGATCTCTAGTTGAAATTAAAATTATGTATTTTTCTTCAAAATCTGTGCTCCAGTCTGTAATATATGAAAAAAAAAGATTTTTTTTAATGATCTTATGTAGTACTTTACATCAAGTTCCTGCTATTACTGTCTGACTGTACATAATTCAATTATTATTCAAGCATATTGACACTATTCCTGCTTCTGTCGGTCGCTAATTGCTATAAAATGCATTTTTAATGAATTATGATTATAAAATTTATTTAAAAAGTGTCTTTAATTAAAATTTAGATAGCTAAGAAATTTTTAACTCAGTTGTTTTGAAGTACTATACCAAAAGTTCCTACATGTTCCAGGACTTTTTAACTGCAGTTTGTCTGATTTGAAATTTTAATGTATGTAATTTTATTTTTAAAGACTTTCTTCTTAGTTTTAAGTTTTTGGGTTTACCTGCAAGATTACAGGAAAAGTTATTATCATATAAATTTATATGTATATTAAACTAATTTGTGTGCATGCAGTAAACTTAAAATTTATAAGTATAGTAAAAATACAATTTAAAGAGCACCACTTTACTGAAAATAGTAACTTTGGTTTAAGCATAAATTTGCAGGCAGTGATGTGTTCCATACTTTTTATGTGTTTTTTTTTAGCTATATCTTACTTTCAAAATCGATTTTTATGAAATATGTCTTTTGTATTTGAAAAACAGTGCCATCTTTATTTTTTCAATATTGTGCTGTGTAAGTTTAAAAAAAAGTTCATTCAAAAATTGTGAGTCCTATTTGTTATTTAAATTCAAAGTAGACAATCTTCATCCTTAAAAATTATCAGCTGATATTATCTGATGTTAAAAATAAGTTGTGTAATAAAAAAATACATACTTTCAAATGATACAAATTGAATGCATATTTTTCATCATTATTTGATTGCTGAATAAATTTCGTAAATAAAAATGTTTTTCTCTGCGAAACAGTGTGACCTGATCATTAAAATTTTGAAAGTTTCTGATTAATAGCAAGCTTTGGTATTTCCTTAATAGGGCAGCCACCACAGAAGAATTTGAAATTTGTGCATTGCAGATTAAGTGTGTCAATTTTGAAATTTAAGTGCAGTGGCTACTTAAGGAAGTATCCAATCTTCCATCTCATTTCTTTTCTCTGCCCTTTTCCAGCTGTTGAAAACTTGAGAATTTTAGAGTTTCAGTACTTATTATGTAATTGGTCTTTTATGTCATATTGTATCTGGGAAGAATTCTTTTGCATTTGTTTACATAATAAAAATCTCATACTGTTATATAAAATTCACGAGCTTCTATGCAAAAGTAAATTTACATAATTGTGAAGGAGGGGATTTGCAATAAACAATGATTTTTGTTTTTAAATCAAAATTGAATACTATTATTATTATTTCATTCTTTTTTTTTTTTTAATTTTTTTTATTCTAGGCTTTGCATCTTTCTCAAACACCATACAGAACACCTAAAAGTGTACGCAGAGGACCAGAACCTTCATCCAATCAGCGGATATTAGGAACTCCTGATTATCTAGCTCCTGAGCTTTTATTGCATAAAGAACACAGTAAGGAATTACTGTTTATTATTTTTGTTGCTTATTTCTTTCATTACTATGATAATAATTCATGACTGGTATTTTATAATTGATCTTATTTGATACGAAGATTACTGGTATATAGAGAAAATTAAATAATTATTGGTATTTTCACATTCATATTTTATTAAGCCCATTCCCCCCTTTCTTATGTATCCATTTAATGGTACAAAATTCTTACTTAATTTCTAAGTAGTCTTTTCAAAAACAGAAGGTATTGCGAATGTGTAAAATGGGAAATAACTGTTTATTAAGTTAAATATTTGGCCATCCAGAAAAGTAAGGTTTTTCAAATTGAAGTCCATATTCTTTTAATTATTTTATTGCTATTGATAAGGAATGGCCTTGACTGAAGCAGCTATATAAATAAAGACTTTTCTACTCAGATTGCATAATTCTAACATAGTTGTGTTAATAATTAAATACTGATTTTTTTTGGGGGGATGCTGAAACATGAAATTTTGGGACTGTTGGGCAGATAATCAGAAAGTACCAAAAAAACCAACACTTTACATCATGCAGTTATGATTGCAGTTTCTTTTAGAAAATAAAAACTGTCTTAGTAGCAAATGAAACTGAAGCTGAGAAGCAAACAAAGCTTCTGGTTTTGTTGAGATATAACTTCCTTTTATCTTTGGAGAAAATTGGGGGGGGGGAACATGCATTGATGGCATAAACATACAGTAAAAGTTTGACTGTCTGGAAAGTTGAAGAAATGGCAGATATGGAAAAATTCCAGATAGTTGAGCCTATAAAAAATGCAGTTTATTATGGTTTAGGAAAACTAAATGAAAGGAAGGAGATTCTTCCTGTCTAAAATTATAAAAGCATTCATCTTATTTGTTATTAGATTGAACATCAAAAGCCTACCTTTAATATTATATAAGGGGGGGGGAAGCATTTCAGACATAAAAGCTGAGGTATTTTTAAATGCCTTAAAAATATGAAAGTAAAACATCTTATCTTATTATGAAATCCCATTAACCATCAAAGCTGGTGGAGATTTTGACAAGTTTGCATAGAGCCGGAACAAGGGTGATGCAGGTGACGCGCTTGTCTCAGATAAAGAACGAGTGCCAAATTAGCTACGAAAATTCAGAAATTTATTTTAAAACAGAAATTATAATTCTTAACTTTTAATTTTGGAATATATCAAAGAATATCAAAAGAATTTTTTGTTGGAAATAATCCAGCTGGAGGGGGCAGAGAAGAGAGAAATTAACAACATTAATTTATTTCAAAATAAATGAGCTTTTTCAGTTTTTTCTAACATTAAACTTTATTACAGAAAGTAGCATTATGAAGCTAATTTATGCTTTACATAACATGTTGTATAAACTAAATTTCCATAGAAAATATCATACTGAGCTTAGGTGGCGATGTAATTGCTGAGTTTTGCAATTGTAATAAAAGCATTTTAGAATACCATCTGAAAAATTAACAAGTATGCTTAAAAATTAAATGTACCATTTTATTAGTTATTGCTCCTTTTTTGGAAGGTGGGTAGCTGAAGCAGACACATAATGCTAAAGGATTAAACAAACTGGCTCATTGCTTTGTCTCATTCTTTGTCAACTGGAAGATAAATATATAAGATATAATTTCTTGAGTTATTCTGTTGTGTATAGTGAAAAAAATAAAATTTTTAGTTTTAAAAAATTGAAAAAAAAAAGAGGTTTAAAAATGTGAGCATTTAATGAAAGATTTAAGACAAACTTTTCTGGCTAGTTCTAATATAATTAATTGATTTTGACATAAAAAATATATTTTAAAAGTTTAGTTTGTTTCATTGATTGTAACATGGTTGATTTAAAATATATTTAAGATATATTTAAAATATATTTGAAAGATAAGCTTTTTGCTAAAGAAATACAGATTTGGAAAGAGTGAAAGTAAAGAAAGCAAAGAATTGCGAATTTAAGAATATTATATATAAATTTAAAACATCAAAATTAGACCAGAGATGGAAAACTTGTTCATTGTTGGGAATAAAAATTAGGGGCAAGCACCTGTAATACTCATGAAATTTAACACATGGAAATCCCCTGACATAATGAGATGAAATAAAAGCAAGGATAAAATGTGAAGCATCATTAAATTTCATTGATTTTAAAATTATAAACACTTAGTATTGTATCAGGTAGCTGTGACTATTTTCTGTCCTTCCAGCTTTGATGGTTTTCACCAGTCTTGTACTTCTGAAAAAAAAAAAAAAAAAAAAATGGCATACATTACGTTTTTCATGGCACTTTGCTTTTTCGCCATTGTGAGTGTGGGAACATCTTCAAAGACCCATACTTTACTTTCTTGATGTGTTGGAATGTCAAAAGAATGGTGTGAATATTTTGGCACCAGGCCATCATCTTTAAGTAATTTAAGGGTTTCTTTACTTATTTTGACATGCTTTTCTTTTTTGATGCTCAGTTAAATTATGGGAAACCCAATGGCAAACTAGTTTTTTTTTTCATATGCAATTTTTCATGAATAATTTTATATATGGCAGTGGATCTAATATTAATTTCCTTTTGTATCACTTGGTAAATACAGCGATTATCATCGATTACATTTTTCGTATGGCAGACACATTATCCAGAATAACTGCTGACAACACCCTTGATTCTGTAAACCATCTGAACATAGCAGCACGAGATGGACCTTCATTTCCAAATACTAAATGTAGATGCTGAATGCATTCTCTTTGACTTAATCCTACTTTAAAACCATAGAAAATTATAGTGCAATAATGTTTTTACATCAGCTCCATTTTTCCTTTAGCCTAAAAAATATACTTCTCTAAACTACTTGCTGTTGGCTCAGAAAAAATTATCTGCGATGCTAAAATAGTTCATATTTTCAAATCTACTGTTAATTGTCGACATGTATCTAAAAAGTTTCAGAGTGACCTCTGTATTTAAATTAGATGGCATATAAATTTCTGCTCAAGCGCAAATAAGTTTTTCTTCGGGTGAAAAAATGATTTAATTGATAAAAGATATGTGAATTTTAAAGACTGATTTCATTGGTTAATCAATTATAATGAAGCTCACAACACTGTATGTTTATGAGAGATGCTTTCATAGAGGATGCTTTAATAGATCTGTCTCATATTCAAGCTACAGATGACTGTGCAGCCAATTCTTTTACCATGAAGTGTTCTAGAACAAGCTGCATATGTTACCTCTTGGCCATTTCTTAACACAAATATTAATGGTAAGACCAGGAGCATAGGGCTTATTATTTAATAATTTGCTCTGAAAAATTTTTGCAGTCAGAAATATATCTTTAAATGAAAGTTGTTTCATAAGAATAAATAGTAAAGTTAAATTAAATTTAAATAATGCTCTTGCGCCATTGCTACAATAGAGAATGTTAGTTAAATTTAAATGTAAGTTGCAAGTTTTATTTAACATATTGAAGGTGATTATTTGTGGAATTCCATTAAAAGTGGGAGGAAAAAAGAAGTGAAGAAATTATAAAATTCATTGCACCTAAGAGAATTTTAGCCAATGATGGAAACATGTTTGTATAATTTTTGAAAAAGCCAAATGGTTTCAGTATGGAAAATATGCTCTGTTTGCTTTACTCTTACAGTGTACATAGGATTAGTAAACTAAGTTAAGAATTGTCATGGATTCTGGGGCATTATTAACAGAATTGAGGCAAAAAATTATTACAAACTTTATATAATGAAACCATAGCTCATATTAAAGTATGTGATATTTTCGATTATAAGACAACACGCATCTAACGATTTAATACAAAGCCAGCACTGCCTATTAACCACTTGTATTAAACATGTTATTCTCATCTTTTATGACTATATTCTTGTTTTCAAAGTATACTATTTTAAAATTATAGCATTTATTATTTCTCCATTTTGAGACCATTCACCTCAAAGACAAATTTCTTATGTTCAGAAAAATTTTATCATGGTTGAAAATAACACTGACGATAATGTGCCCCTCTGTAATCATTGCGGATACTCAGGACATGTTCTGAGGTACTATGCAGAGACATACCAAATGTTTGAAAATGCAAGAGCTGCTAAGACATCCAACTCTCAATGAGACAGTGACACTGACTCTGCATACAGCTTCGACAATGAATATGCACAGTCTACCTCTTCTCAAATAAGGAGCAATTAACCTTATCCATGATACTCTTTCAACAGCAGTCACAGTCACCAGTACACCACTCAGCCGTTCTCCATGCCGAACCAATGAGGAAAACTAACTCAAGCGACCTGTGCAGGAGGTGAGGCTGCAGCTGAAGAAAAATTTCCGACATACACCACAGTTAGTGGTATACGCCAGAGAAGTACACCACTAACACTAGCACCACAGTTAAAAAATAATACCACCTTTATCACCGTGAACAGACAGTTTGCAAAAGCCCTTGTTGATTCGGGTGTTGATTATTACATCATATATGAAGAATTACACCAACTACCAATGCTCCTATGTTTATGAGAGGGGACCTATACTGAAAACTGCCTGTGATAAACCTGTAGCTACCTCGGGATGCTGTATATTAAAAGTTGATTTGAATGGGGTTAAGGTGCCATAAGGTCTTTCATGCTTGTGAAGAAGAAAAATGGTTAACAGCATTTTTGTGTTGATTATAGAAGATTGAAGAACGTAACCAAAAAGGACATCTATCCATTACCTCGCAACATTGATGCTTTGGACTGCCTGGCTGGTGGAGAAGTTTTCTCTGTGATGGATCTAAAGTCAAATTACTTCCAGATAGAAGTGAAGTCGATGAAAAACAGATTAAAAAAAACAGCCTTCATGGCACCAGAGGGTCTGTATGAATTTAGCCTTCATGATGCCAGATGGTCTTTATGAATTTATGAATCTGCCATTCGGATTATGCAATGCTCCAGCCACACTCGAACGGATGATGGGCACGATACTAAGAGGCCTCTAATGGAATATTTGCCTTTGCTACCTCGATGGCATAATCATGCA